AACACTAATTAAAACAATGCGTATTTGATGTATCAATTCTTCAGAGAAATATGAGATGGTCAAAGGGGTAAATTAAATATTTTGTGGGGAAAACCTGAACACAAAGTATGGAATTGCAATATGATAAAAGCAAACCTTTCTAGCAAACATTATGAAGGCTCATTGAGGGGTAACTTGGAGTATGCTACATAATAGGGCAGCTACTGGTCACAGATTACTAACATACCTAAACCCACCACCACATGTCTGCCAGGACTCTCAAAGGACTAGCGAAGATAAAAAGAAAAGAAAAGAAGGGCGTAAGGGATATATAAATATGAAGTGCATGTTAACATGGCAAAAAATGACACAATGAAGAATTTTCCATGATGAGCGACTTATCAAATGAATCAACAAGCTACAATTATGACATTCCACTATAAATGTCCAAACTTAACTGCAAAAAGGCTGCTTAAAGGCTGAACAAAAATGACAAACTACGAGATGTTTACTTTTTTTAAAAGGCAATTCTGTATGGCAAATGATTATTTTACAAGAATAGTATAGAAATATTATCAAGACATGCCAATTTATTTGAGGTGAGAAATGACAAATGTATCATATCAAAGAAGCCATATCAAAGCAATACTAAAATGACAGCAAAGTAAATTATTTGGAAGTATTAGAACACAAGTGGAATTATCTTACCTCTTGAGAAGCTTAAGAGCTTCTTTGTGATCGATTTCCACTCCAAGGTCTTTGAAAGCACGTACAAGCTCATCCTGGTCAATTTTTCCTGCAGAAATTAAGCTGTATTAGATGGTTTCAATAATTGTAAACACAAATTTTAAATAAATACAGAAAGACTTGCCATCTCTGTTTTTATCAATATGTGTGAAAGATAGCCGCAAATGTTTTTCATGCTCTCGTACATAGTCAATAAATTCCGATAGACAGACATCTCCACTCTTATTGGCATCTGAATGCTCAATAAATTTCTGAAATGAAAATAAAATATTAACAACATTGGCAAAAGAAGACAGAAGAAAAGGAGGGGAATAGACAACAGAGAGACGGAAAGAAACTTAAACTAGGGAACCACCCGTGAAGATCGTGAAGTGTCAAGCACCGAATGTGCTTCAATGCACATGGAAATGAGCACAAAGGGTTACTCATTGATTGCAAAATGCCCACTAGATGTGCATTTAATGCACGAGTAAGCTTTAAATGAACTTATAATGTCAATGCACTCGAGTGCGCTCGCAAATCGTGCAACATGGTAACATCCATTTAAAATGAAGGAATGCATTATTCAAAATGAGGACATCAAAATGGTAATGATAATCATGTGTTTTTTTTTATGCAAGAGCCACATTGACTTTTGAGAAGTACTATTCGGACGACACAATGAACCAGGGCAGCCGATAAGCGCAAACACTCGACGGGTACGCGCCAACTGGTTCGAATGCCAACTCTGCTTGGGCCTTGGGCTCGTATAGGCCGTTGAGAAGGCAACCGTAACCTCAATTCAAGTAAGGCACACTTACCTGGGCATAAGTGTGGTGCACACCCGAGTCTTTGAGAGAGTTGGAGAGCTCTAGGATGTCAATCCTTCCGTTGCCATCTTTGTCCAATTGTTTGAAAAGAGCTTCCAATCGCAGTTCATCCCCATGGAGAAGGATGGGGCCGTGTCCAGACCCGTCGTCCGCTGAGTTGCTACTGCTACCTAATTCAGCCATTGTAGGAAAATAGAAATAGCTAAACTCTCAATAGACAACAACACTACAATAATCAACAACAGTAGCACCGAGTTATGTACAAAATCTAAGTTTAGTCAGGGAGGCAAGCTAGGACATGACAGCAGCACAGCAGAGGTGCTGATGCTGAGTCTAGCTAGCTGGCTGGCAACCCGCAAACCATAAGGACACAGCAACGCGACAAACAACCCTGAGGAAAAATATTGACCAGAAGAAAGAGGATTCTATGTATTGTCAGTTAAGCAGAATAAGGGTAATTAAAAATACATCACTAAAATTGTTTTTATAAAACTATTAAATGCGATGAATTGCATTTATCTGACCAGAAAAAAGCTTTGGCGCCACAAGGTAATGTTGGCAACGCAGGCCTTGGCACGAACTGACAGGTAGCACGGGCTTTACGCCTGTCAAAAGTCCTCAGTCTCAAAAAGCAGGTACTCGCAGAAAAGGCGTGGCTGATGGTAGCTCGAACCGCTTGTTGTTTCAGCTGGTTTGATTTTCAGCGAGTCACGCAAAGGGGCCATGTCTGAGCCTCGGGAAAATATCGCGAAGGGGTAAGTGGGGCATGGCATGTATCGATCGTGGGAGGGCATGAGTAGGGAAAGAGCGGCCTATACAACGGTCGTCGTTTGTCCCGTGATGTTCAACTCCCACTCCCGCCGCGATCTACGCCATGCGGTTTTGAGGAGTGGCCTTTTCGTAGAAAGACTTGACCGCCGAAAAATTTAAATTTTTTGAGATGGTAGTAGTCTGGCTTAATGCCCTTAATGTCGCGGTGCTTAATGTCCGAGAGGGAAGTACAAATACAATTCTCAGTGCTTGAGTCTGAGAGGTCTAGAGTTGACAAAATTGAAGTAATAGAAGTATAAAAGTGGTATGAATTCCAATTATACCCAATGTTTTGGCGACAAGTCATATTAATAATACCGTTATTACCCAACACGATCAGATAAGAGGCGCCAAACAAGGGTCACCGCGGTGGGAGCACTCCACTCACCTGTGGCGGCCGCCGCTGCCGCTTTGGCCGCACACTTTGCACAGCAGATACGCGTCGATTTACCCGCCGCCCCAACAACTTCCACCCTCACCGTTGACGTGGACCTGGGTATCTCCACCATGGCTGCTGGGGGCTGAATGTTCCCTCTCGGACCTCGGCTCCAATACCTTCACAGAATGGAGAACGGCGAACTAAATGTGTCCAAATCTCGTGTTTGTTTTTGTTCTTTTATGCAAGGAAAAATAAGCACGGGAACGGCTCTACGGCTGTCCCTCTTGCTTTCCGGTCTTCGATGTTTGATGGCACGGGTCCGATCAGATGCCCGATCAAAGTTCGCAGAAAGCCATAGCGGGCCGCGAGCGAAGCGCACAGCCTCGCAGCGCAATTTGAATGAGAGGAACATACCCAAATGTCGTGATTGATTTTACGAACCTTCTGATTACTTATTTGCCAGATGAAAGTATAGAGTAAATACTCAGTTAGGGCCGGGCATGCTGTCGATCGGTGCAGAGCAGCAGACGGCCGAGCACTGCGGGGCTGTGGCGGGACATCACCCCCCACGCACTGCTCATCGTCCTTCCCCCGCCTCCCCCCCGCTCCTCCCATCTCGACGCGCCGAAGAGCACCAGATTAGATTGTTGTTTTGCTGCGGGACTTTGCGTCGATACTGATGCTGTCTCATTTTAAGTGAACGGTGGCAAAATTACGGCATAGACCCTCTCTCAGTCCGATAGTTGAAGGTCAGCTAAGTACCGGCTGATTGGTCCGTTCCGAGTGTTATTAAACGGCACGCAGTGATTGCCTCGTAAGGGTAGATTAACCGTGCTTGACGCACAGTTTGTGATGTTCGTGGAGCCCTAGTAACATAGCATGAAACCGTCGAACGGCAATTTCATAATGTTACGACTGGGAAGCGGAATCGTCGAAGCAGGTGTGGGGCGGTGCTCGAATTTGTGCTTAACGCTTAACATAAAGACAATAACTCTTAATTATAATTTATTACGACTTTACTATATGTACAATTACTATTCGAGCTGCACCACGGTGCAACGCTGTCTAGGAAGTAAATAAAGAAACGGTCCTTAAAAACCATTTTTTATCACATATCACAAAATACAGACCGCTCTCCGTTAATCGAAAAAGAAAAGTCAGAGATATCTCCAGTCGGCGCGGACTTCCACTCTCAGTATCATTTGCCATCGTGCCAGTTTTGAAGGCACGGTGAGATGACACCCACTTTCATAAACACTCTCGCTAGAATTACACTACTGCCTTCGCAGTCTTCCCGAATCAGCCAAGGGGTATGTTGTACGGCGCGCCGGCCCCCCTGCTGGCGCCGCCCTGGCCGCCGCCCTGGCCGCCGCCCTGGGCCTGGGCGTCCTCGCCCGGCTCCCCGCAGCGGTCGCACCGCGACTTGAACAGGCCGTCCATGTCCTCGAGGCGCACGCCGCGCGTCTCTGGCAGCACAGCCCAGATGAGGGCCACGCCGACCGCGCCCAGCACCGCGTACAGCAGGAAGACCCCTGCGGACGGATAGACCGATAAGTTCACACGACCAGGAATTTTAAAATCTGGAATTTTCCGGAACTTTTCAAAAACAATAAAATCA